TCAGTTATCCATGAGCAAGAGCAAAATAATAATCCATGATAAATAACAGGAAAAAAATGTTGCATCAAGTGAAATGACATGTTCCTCTAACCAGCTAACAATGAGGCTAACAGCTGAGACGTCTTTTTAATCCTTTATTCTGATTTTTTCTTTTAAAAAAGCTTGCTTTTTCTCTCACTGAAAATACTCACCAATGAAAAAATAATCTATTTTATTAAATCCAAGGTGCTGCTGTCTAAGGACTTGTTTTAGGACATTGGTTCTCAATCTTGTGCCACCATGAGACCCAAAGAAGCAGAGCACTTTGGACACATACTGGAATCCAAACAGAGGATGGTTCTACTGACTTCTACAAGACTAAACACCACTTCAGGCTTACAGTGTGTCTATCAGAACCCTTAATCATATGCTTTTAAATGCACTGTTAGACCTGGCCAGTACCTCATTCATCTTGTTGAAGTAATTGTCTACAAGCCATGCTATTAAACCCATGGAAACCTGTGAATACCACGTACTCAGCTCCCTGGGGCTGCTAAGAGATGGATGGTATGACAGAACTCCCTGAGGACCTCTGCAACGCATAGATCTCCACAGGGACATATGCAAGTCAATTCTTACTTCACTTACCCTGATGTAATACTGCTCTAACCACAACTAATACAGAAACGTTAGTGTCTCTGTTAGTGGAAGACAGGCTTTTCTTTAATGAAAGCTCAGCTCATAGACCCATACAAAAGAGAGATATGTATAGCCAAATCCATTAATTGGCAACCAACCAGCTAAGTGGTGGTCCAGACCTTACAGCATATGTTAGAGCTCACTACTATTTGCCCCACTACTGCACACTTGCATGGAAGTAACTGTTTCTGCAGTCATAGCTACAACAGGATCCAGAAGTACATTAGGATCTGCCAAAACAAGCCTATAAATAACAACAGTTGAACCCAGTAGGATGACTTCTGACTGGCAACAAAGAAAAGCTGGTCATCCACATTGTTTCTGAGAGAAACCAGCTGTCTTACACTCTGTCATTCCCAAAACATCAATAATCTTGCTCATTGTACCCTCCATAACAAGGGGAACAGAGAAATCAGAGAAGGGATAATATAAAAAACAATGAACCTGACACTGACCTACACTCCTACAGGAGTATTAGTAGTACATGGTAATGCCACTTTTCCTTGCTGTAATCCACATCTGTGCAAGGGGAGGGAGAAGCCAAAACCAGAATTTTTGCCTTTTTGTAATTATACAATAATCCAACAGACTCTTCATTTCATTATTTATTATCATCACTGTCATTATGCCAAAACCAAAGTGTATAACAGCAGTTTAGCAATGCAAATCATTTTTTTTTGTCTGTATGTCACTCAAATCATTTCTTTTTGAGAGGCAGACTATTCCAAGCAATCCCTCCCCAACATTCAGGTTGCTTAGTCAGAGCTGGTTAAAGTCACAAACCCAAATTAGAAGACAGACAAATCATTGTCTAAGGAGAACTCTTGCTCCCAAGTGCTGGAGCCCATTATTCCACCAGACGGATCTCGAGTCCCTTGACTACTTAGCTGGCTTTTCTACTACCAAAGGAAAATAAGAAACCTTATCAAAGAGAGTGCAGCAGAGGAAATTGGATGGTCTTGCCAAATAGGTCATGACTGCTCTGCTCTACTCGAAGGCCACATGCCAGCTGAGCACAGGGAGTAGTAAACAACTCCCCCGCTACCCACCCCACTCCTCAATAAACTATTCCTTTGTCCTGCCCGAGTATAGCACATAAAAAGTGAGCAGACTGGAAACTTCCATTCCTGAGCACTGAGCGTGCACTCAAGAGTCAATTGAGCAAAAACTTCAGCTCCCTGGTAGCACACACAGCTCAGAGGAGCTCTCGAGCAGTACATCACTAACAGCAGAGGCAAGAGCATCCTTCTTACTCTCGGTTCCTGGTTTCAAAATGAGCAGGGGTAAGCATTACCTCTCATTTCCTCACTGCTTCACACCAACAGCTCTTGAAGGATACATGGAGCCACAGCTTTTAAATTTACGGCATACCCAATGCAGCACAGCACTGCTGAGCCTCAGTCCTCCATCTGGCATACCCAATGCACAGCACTGCTGAGCCTCAGTCCTCCATCTAATCAATGACCAGGCCACTGTTTCACAGCAAGAAAGGTCCTGATGTTGTGCTCACACGAGTCAAGACAGAGCCACTGACTGCAGTCAGCTGATGCTGAAGTACATCAGCAAAGGAATTTAGGGGAAAAAAAAACATATGCTGAAAGCTTAAAAACACACTACAGACTGTATACTGAGCAGTATCCTGGGTATTAAAAAGCAGGACAAAGACATTGGACTGAAGGAAGAAAGAACAGAATTTATCTCAGAGAGTGGAAAAACAGTTATTCTTCCAATAGACCATTCTCCTTCAAAGCTTTAACTTTCCCCTTGTGCCAAAAAAAAAATAAAAAAGAGAAAAAGAAAGAAGTGTGTTACAACAACCACACTTCATCCCAAGCAGCAGCTTTTTTTTTTTCATAGAGCTCTTACAAGGTAGAATTATGGTACAATCTTTCACATAATAGCTAACAACAGCCTGGACAGAAAGGTCCAGATGTTTTCCACATTGACTGAAACTCCATGGACTACAGTGGGAGACCACATCACCTAGGGGATCTGGACCAAAGACTTTACATCTCACTAATGCTCCAGCAGCAATGGAAGGCTGAATGCTACAGAGCTGACTGTTCAAACTGAAAATAATTAACAGGTCCCTCTCAGCCCAATGTTGTTAGGTTCTTTTTGGCAAGACGTCAGGCAGCTTTCACAGCACAATCTGGCTGTGAAACTCATATCTGAAAACCCAACCACAGAGACAGGGAGGAAGAAACCTTCAGGAGCTCAAATGCAGCGTGCTGCTCCTTTTCTCCACTCGTAAATGGGTTTCACCACCTTTTTGCATTGCAACCCTTAACAGCTACAGAACTGAGAGACGATCACACCTGCCTTTGTTAATGCTGCTCAGGAGCAGAGCCACCCCTGCTGCCTGCTCAGGACATGGACAAGAAATACTCAGCTCCTGGTTTCCCCCTCACCCTACTTGATCCTGCTGAAACTTCAGCTGGGGAAACGGTGGCTCCTCACAAGCGGGTATGGGCCGGCACACACCCAGGCACATGAGCTGCCAGAGCTCCTGGAGACAGCTTCCAACCAAAGGCTTTTTGAGCTGCATGACTGAAACTATGCATATTAGCTCTTTCCTCCTGAGAAGCAGGGATCTGCTGTGGGGAGGATCCTGCATCATTACTACAGTCATGTGCACAGGCCCCCGTCATGGCTCAGGGCTTTGCTGTTCTCAGTATTTTATTCTTGAAATAAATAGCAAGCCTGCCCTCCAAAGTTTAACCTCAGCAAAAGCGTCTCTGAAGACAAGAGGAAATCTGTTGCCTTTGGGAACAGAACTAGGTTCAAATATTATTAAGGTCTGGAGAACAGGCCAGACACAAAGATTAATTCTGTACACAATGCAGGTTTCTAATACAAAGAAATCAATGACCCCAGAAGCACGGTCAAGAACTACAAGGAAACAAAATTAAAAAAAGAAAGCCCTACCCCTGAAGAATAACTCCAATATCAAGCACAACGTACAGTGAAAGAACATCTATTTTGATATATTGAAAGTGAGCAGACGCTCATTTTAAAATAGGCTCATCTTACAATTAGTTTTCAAAATTACTGCCATCTCTGTTGGCAAGAGCATCGAGCTTTACTATGGCTCAGCAGAAGAAAAACACATTCCAAATGAGTAGCCCAGACTATCTGAAGCAGAAATAATTTGTTATGGACTGGCACCAGCCTGCAAGGGCAGAGGGAATCCTGAAAAGACCCTGGAATTGCAGAGACCTCAGTGCTTCCATTTAAAAGAAATGCCTCTGGTTTTCAACTCCATTTAACTTCTCTTTGGTACCTGTGCTCATCTCCCCTAGGTACACACAGTATCCACTACAGAATTAACCTGCTACAAAATCAGCAAAAAAGAAAGGACCTACAGAAAAGAGTATATTTGCCTCTCCATTCCTTTCCAGAAGAACTTTATTTGATAAATAGGAGAAATAGACCGGTAATTATTTTTTAAATGACCACTTATTCATACGGTCTTGACAGATTTTTTTCCTGTGAATTTTTCATGGCAGCATTTTCAAGATAGTCCTCTAAAGCCTGACACTTGCTAAGTGAAGATGATGATGCAATCAAAGTACTGATCTGGGATTTGAAAAGAATTTTATCCCTGGCTCTGTGCAAGGTTTTTGTGTGGCCTAGATAAGTCACTTAACAGCTGCTTTGCTACCTTGGGGTCTACCTGCCTTGCCTCATTAACTATAGCAGCTCTTCCCTGAGAAGTCATGGAAAATATCTGCTATGGATACACAACAGTAAGTACAGAATGTGACGTTAATTTCAAAACATGAGAAACTGACACTTTGCCATACAAAATGTTACTGTCAACACGCCAAGCAGTCAGCATGGCTTAGGTTCCTGAATTAACCTCACAAGTTTCTTCTCGTAAAATCCCACTTAAAACCCACATGCTCTATGGGATGCTGCTAAACTAGCTTCCACTTCATCTTTTACCTACTTTTTTTTTAAATTTATTTTTGCTGTACCGACTACCCCTTCAGCCTTAGCCTGGCAACCTTCTTGAATAGCTAGTGACCTGTTACTGTCACATACAGCACAGAAGAGGTACCGTCACATCGCCTACAACACAGCCTCGTTCAGTTTGGCATTACAGATGTGGCTCTACAGAGCAGTAACGTGTGGCCAGCACAACACAGTGACCTAAGAGCCACCGTTTGGCCTTGGAGAACTGGAGCTCAGGAGGGTGCAGCTCTCCTCTTGTTTGCAATGGTCTCATAAGCAATAATACTGGTTTTTTTCAGAAGATAAGGTCTGATGAGGGTCCAGCTGTGAACGTGAAGGTACACGGACCTCTGCTGCCCACTTACCCACATAGAGGACACCCTCTTTCGTCTTTCCTGCCGCCTCTGCCACACCCTGCTTGGTTTTTTCTGCTGCTGCTACAACTCCCTCCTTTGCCTTGGAAAGTCCTTTCATGAACACGTCCATGGCTGAAGAATTTCTTCACACAGCCCTAGAGGGGGAAAAAAAAAAAAAAAGACAGTACACTTTCAGTAAGATTTGTTTTCAGCTTTTTATCCCAGAAAGGGAGGAAAATTTTATTCAATATTCAAACTGACTGGGATCACAATTACTTAATTATATTATTTATACCCCCATATTATGTCACTTTCATCCTCTGTACATGAGGTTGCACTCAGTATTTCAGATAGAAACAACGATTAAATAACTAGAAAGGAGTACAATTACATGAATCCCTTTTACATTTTCTCACATCCTGCCATAAGTAAGTTAAACAGCACTGCTGGAGCAGTTCCCTCAATCCAAGCAAACCTTGGGGATCCTGTTTCCAGAGAATCCTACAGAGAGGTTGCTGATAACGCAGCTCTGGCTGGAAGATGGATTCACTGACACAACTAGTCCCTTCCCTGCCTACCGAGCTATGATTTCCTCCAAAGGACAGTTCTGTTCGTGAGCTGATGGCAAGATTTAGCCCTGTGATTTGATGATACTCCCCCTCTCATACAGGGGAAAAAGCCAATTTAAATAAACACCAGGAACTTGAAAAAAAAAAACACCAAAACACACCTTCTAAATGATTTCCCCTGTATGAGAGGGAGAGTAAGCCAACTTAAAGAAACACTAGCAACTTTAAAAAAAACACCAAAACACACCTTCTAAATGACAAATGTTCACTTGTTATAAGAAAATGCCATTACAACCCAGAAGGACTGGAGCAAATAGAAAATGCTGCTTTCCCAGCAGCCCAGCATTTTGTGCAGTCCACATCACTCTTCTGGAAATTGAGCTTTCCCGAATGGATTCTTTGCATGTATCAGGACTGAGAAGAGATTTTACTAAAAAGCAAAAGCAGGAATGCAGGATTTTAAGAGCACTGCACTGAAGCTCGCAAGTGACTTCTGTGGCAGCTACACAACCCAGCGCTACACTGAAACAAGTAAAATAGTAATTAAAATCAAGAAGTCAGGGTCCCTTCAACTTATCTGTTACGGATAGTCCTTTCTCTTCCTCCACCCACACAGAAAGAAGTGCTGCCTGTTATTTTCTTGTCTCTGCTGGAGGTGGCAGAGAAGGAGGAGGAGGAATGGCTGTCTAGGAAGGCAGAGGGGCTGCTAACTCGTGAGGAGCGTGCGAAGAAAGGCAATATTTGTGCTCCAGCTGAACCTCCCATAGCACCTCTCACTCCGGGGCTGGGTGGTCTTTTCACACAGAGATTAGGGGGTGAGGCAGAGGCTCCAGCCCGTGGGACCCTCCAGCTCCTCAACCAAGGGGGTCCCAAGGCCTGTCCCCAGCTGCGGGGGACGCCTGGGGACCACGGATGTGTATCACATCATACCCAGGCACCTGCAGAGGGAGGGAGGGAGGGAGGGAGAGGTGCTCGCAGGCATTAGCTGCGTGCATCAACCCAGAAGGAAACCCGGGAGGGCAGAGCGACGCGACCATATTGGGGCACCCACGGGCTCCAGCTGACACGCCGTCCGTCGGCACAAGGCACCCACCGCGCCCGGCTTCTCCGCCCTCCCCCGCGCCCAAAAGAGGACGTTCAACAGGAGATATATATAAATAAAAAAATATTTATATATAGATAGATACAATTATATGGATGTGTCCATACACAGAGGCACCCCTAGCCCTCCACAGCCACAGAAAGCCCAGTCCTCGGCAGCACCGGAGCGCAGCCGTT